GTCCTGCCTAGTCTCTGGTGGTACAGGTAAGGAGCACGCAACTTTCATGGGCGAAAACATCTCCTAGGAGACATCTGATTTTTTCAGCCAATGTGTGTTCATTGCAACAATTTGCAAAAAAACTAGTAGCGCGATAAGGAAAACTGCTTTGGAATTTGCAAAATATGATTAAATCACAATTTAGCTGCCAATTATGGCAAACTAATTCAGAAGAAAAGGTAGGTATTTTTCGAAAATTGGAAAAAAGAAGAGAATAGGTGGTCATCTCCAACGCTCTAAAGAAATCAGGCCTGAGACATACCTCCTCAGCTGTAGGTGCTACACCATCTGCGATTCTCGTTGGTGTCGTGCTAGTATATTTATTGGGTGTACTATCCATAAATTCGAAAGCTTTATCGATCAGATGGGATACGTTGTGTGAACCATTCATCTCGTCACTCGACTCCTAAATCAAGTGAAGCTAGCTAGCAAGATTGGTTTAGGAGTGGGCAGGTTTGAGCTGGAATAAGAAAGCTCACCTCATCATCTCCAAAAAGATTAGCCTCTTCTGCCGAGTCAGGGTGCTGTATATGGAGCGGCGACTTTGGCGATTTGTGAACAGCGGTTTTAAGATTAGGCGATTTGTGGACTGGGGTTTTGGGAGTCCTTATGGGGGACATTTTGATTGCAGGCGATTTGTAGGGAGAGTAGGCTAGCTTTGTAGACGCTTTAGCCTGAAGAAATTGTTCATGTAATGACTGCAACATCCGATCCTATGCTGTGCTTTACCTTATTCACAGTTTCCTCTTCTTCACCCTCATCCGACTCGTCAGCATAGCGAGGGCTTTTGGAAAGAGGCGAACATGTTGGAGAACGCTGTTGCTATAAATAAAAGTACTAATATACTTCTGAAGGCTTAAAAATGGTTTCATTACTACCTCCTGTTTTTTGATCGCCTGTGACACTTTCTTAGCTAGGTAAGGCTGAGGATCCTTCGGTTTATGATCAATTTTCCTAGGGATGGCTGTATCACGCATGCGTATAGCCGCCTTCAAAATTTCGTCCTCGGTTTCGTCCGGATGAATAGGAGTGCCAGTAATAGAAGAAAACTAAAATTAATATTAATCCTCAACAATATGAGAGTTATAATAGGATAGCAAACTTTACAAACCTCCCATCTCGTCTTCAAGTTCTGAAGATTGGTCGCCCTCACATCTGGATGCGTCGGAACACCTGGAGTGGCTCCCACAACTACAGGCGTGTTCTGACTCCCACGCCACTGAGTCTGGACCCGGGGAGTTGTCGGCGTAATCGGAGCTGTGTTCGTGATAGTTGTAATAGGAACTGTGATCACTGGCTTGGGTGTTGGTATCTTAAATAAAGTTGACAGAATGTTATTGATGTCAAAAGTCTTTGAGCCAATCAAGCGTTGGAATGTAGAGTTTTTGAGGTTAGTCATTATCTTCAGAGGTCTGTACGTGGATCATGGAATTTTATTTGACACTTTACCACCAAAGGCCTTTTCATTTTGCTAAGTCAGGCCGAGCATTGTGAAAACCAAAACTTAGAAACGAATTAATGTGTGAATGTTTTAACAAAATGCAACAAATCCGCACAAAACTGGACGTCACTCAAGCCAAGTGAGCCAAGGTCATTTATGTGCAGGTCTAAGAAATAAAGATCGAACGCCAATAGGTCACTAATCGACAAGCTATAATTTCTAGCGTTAAGCAGGATTACTGATAGAACACGCGACTTAGTCTGTATTGCGCAACTATGAGAAAACATGATGGATAATTGTGATGACATCTCTGACAAGA